GTACACTTCGGTCGAAAGAAGTAGGTGGGCACTTGAAGTAGGAAGGCGGACAAAGTAGATTGGGTTCAGGCCCTCCCAGAGAATAAACCAACGCAGCAAAAACATATCGATTCTTGAAGTAGGAAGGCGCTTGAAGAAAATTGGAATCTGGAGATCGGAGAGAGCGTGATCCACCGCCGCTTTACTGTGGAAAATTGCCGCCCTTTTCCTCCGGAACCCGGCCCCCCCCCCCCCCCAAACCCCCCTCCGAAAATCCCCCCCCTGATGGACCCCCCCCCCTTAACCCGGCAAACCCCCCCCCTCCCTTAACCCCCCCCCCCCCTCGAACTCGAAAACCGGGGGGGGTCACTACCGGTTCGAACCCCCCCCCTCGAAAACTGGAGGGGGGGGTCACTACCGGCTCGAACCACTGAGCTGTCCCACTGTTCCCACCACTGTCCCCACTGTCACCACCACTGTCCCCACTGTACCTCTGTCCCATTGTCCCACTGCCGTCCTCTCCACCGCCTTCACCACTGTCCCCACCACCACTGTACCCTCCACTGTCCTACTGTTTCCACCACATTCCCACTGTCCCCACACCACTGTCCCCACCACGACCGTCCCCACCACTGTCCCACTGTCCCCACTGTTCCCACCATTGTCCTCACCATTGTCTACCGTCCCCACCACTGTCCCACTGTCCCCACCACTGTCCCGCTGCCCCGTCACCACTGTCCCCACCACCACCGTCCCCACCACTGTCCGCACCCCCCCTCGGATTTCGAGGGGGGGGGGGGGTTCGAACCGGTAGTGACCCCCCCCAGTTTTCGAGTTCGAAGGGGGGAGGGGGGGGGGTTCGAACCGGTAGTGACCCCCCCCCTTTTCATGATGAACTAGGGGGGGGGGGAGGGGTTCGAACCGGTAGTGACCCCCCCCCCCAGTTTTCCGGAGGGCGGAGGGGGGGGGGAGGGGTTCGAACCGGTAGTGATCCCCCCCGGTTTTCCGCCAGCAGCGGTAGAACACGCTCTTTCGGAGATCGAAAAATACCTACCTTCAACGACTGGCGTGTACAGTCACCCTCACCTACCAAGACCGCGTCCCCACAAAATACCCGGCAAAACAAAACATAACAAACGCTCGCCTCCCGGCTCTGGCTCACGTGGTCGTGCTCGAGCACCCCGTCGCTGAGCGCCGGGCGAGGCGCCGAAGACGACGGCCACCACGACGATGACGACGACGACGGCCACCACGATGCCGACGACTACGACGGCAAAGACGACGATGACGACGACGACGAGGACGGGCTGTGACGTTTCTTACCATTTCTGGCCCTCCTGGAGGGCCCTCGTCGCCGCCGCTTAGCCCTCCTCGGCATCGTGGCCAGAACAGGACAAGTCTGGGATCGACAACAACGATGAGGAAGCGACAACCCTTGGTGCGCGCTGGAAACAAGCTAAGGTGGAGGTGGCAGTGGAGGCGAAGGGAAGAGGGCAGGGGGAAGAGGAGAAGGGAAGGGGGAGGGCAAGGGAAAGGGGGGGAGGTATAGTTGGACGCTGAGGACATGGACGCGTATGTGGACGTGGACGTGGAGGCGGAGGTGGAAAGCAAAGCGGCCGTGGAAGTGGAGTTGTAAGTGAAAGCGGGAGTAGGAGGTGCAAGCGGCTGTGGACGTCAACGTGGCCGAAGAGCGGGGCGAAGCTGCCGAGCCGGCCGAGACAGAATGCCCCCATGACGTCCACCCTCTGCCACCCGAGCCCTACCGAGAGCAGCGGCGCCGGGATCTCTCGCCCCGTCTACCCGTCAGTCTGCTGCATCAGCTGGTCCGCACCCATCCTCGGGACAAACCGCTGCGGCAGCTGCAACGCGCCTGGCCTCGCCCACGGAAGCAGGAAGCGAGGGCGCCGCGCAGCCTTGGCCCGCAACCGATGCTGGCCCATCCCGCGCTGGCGCTCGGCTCGAGCCCGGGCCGCCTCTCCTCCTGGGCCGCCCCGGCCCTCCTCACCGCCCGCGCGCCCTGTCCGTGACCCGCCGTCGGGTTTCCCCGACTGCCGCCCCGTCCGCGAGCGAGCGCTGCCCTGCCGAGCCCGGCCAAGCCGCTCCGCCTCGGCGGCGAGCTCACGCGGTCGGCCCTGCAGAGTCTGCGGCTGCGCCGACGTGCCCCATCGCGCTCTGCTCCACCTGCCGAGCACTCCGGTCGGCTGCCGCTCCGGCGGCTGCGCGGCTCGCGCCTGGGCCTGGCCAAGTGCTCCCGCCGCGCGCCGAGCGTCCCAGGCCCTCCGAAGGTGAGCAGGGGAAAAAGAGAACGAGACACGCCAGGCCATGCCAACCTGAGCCCGGGATCGGTGCATCCGCCCTGACTCACGGTAGGCACCGTTTCTGGCCAGGCCCAGCCTGGGCCCAGGATCGGTGCATACGCCCTCCTGCCCTGGCCAGGGAGGCATGTGACGTGTGCGCCGACCCTTGGCGCAGGATGGGCCTGACCAGGGCCGGTGCACGTGCACTGCGCCTTTCGCCCGCGTACCAAACGGTGCAGATCAGATTCACTTTTTGGGGGGGCGAGGAGGGACAGGAGGAGGAGGAGGAGGAGGAAGAGGAGGAGCAAGTCGTAGCCGCGCCGCTGTCGCCGAGCCCGGCACGAGGTGCCCCTCGGCCTCTGGCTCGGGCGCCAGCGCCTGGCGGTGCGCTGCCTGTGCTGCCAGGAGCTGGGCCAGCAGAAGCAGGACCAAGTCTCCGCGACCGTGCGGACATGCTTTCCTTCTCTGAAGGGGCCCACAAGCAAACAAATAAGTACACACAAATGACAGGAATGCTCATATGTTTCCATATCTTCTGAGTTTCCGTCTTCCCCCCAACTTCTCATATTTTCTTATATTTTCCTGGGCGTCGACGATTAATTGTGTCTGTGTGTTTCTTTCCCTCCTGATTCTCCCAGCGAACAAGACAAAATAATCAAGGGTTGCGGGGAGGACAAGTGCTGCACACTGCTGAGCACATGATCAAACATGAATGAGCAGTCTGGACAGGGGACTCGGTCCTTTCCCAAGACGTTGATCCTTGATCATTTCAGCGTGGATCTCTGCGTTGTCGGGCGGTTGTCCTCGCTTGGGGAGAGCGACCACTGCATCTAGTTCCTGTGCTGAGTACTGAGCCTGGTCAGCGGGCGTAGGTGCATCGCAACCATTTGCATAATCCCACCAGCTCTGGGCGTGAGTGGTCTTCCGAGCTAGTTCTGCTAACACCCTTCTTCCCCTTCGGGGAGGGGGTCCCTGTCCCACTGGGTCTGGAGGGCGAGATCTGCGAGGGGTTGGGGCGTCCAAGATGGCCCAAGATAGCTTCAAGAGGGCCGCAGAAAGCCCAAGATGTCCTCGAGTCGCTCAAGATGACCAAAGATGGTTCAAGATAGCTTGTAACATGCCTCCGAGAGCCTTCAAGACCGCCCCAGGACGGCTTCGAGTTCCCTCCCAGCCTCCCAAGACCGTCCCCCAGAGGCCAATTTTCTTCCAAAACCATGGGGAAATGACTGCGTTGTACTTTCTCGCTAGATCGCTTCTGGTGAGCTCTTGAGGCCTCAAGACGCCTCCAAGCTGGCCCACGAGAGCCGCAAGAGGGGCCCAAGAGGGGCCCAAGGGAGGCCAAAAACGGCCCCAACAGCGCCCAATATTGACCCGAGAGCGCCCCAAGAGAGCCCCAAGAGGCTATTTTGATGGGCCAGATCGGGGGGGGCGTACTCAGGACCGTCCCTTTAGAACCTCAAGCTTCCAAGATGGCCCCAAGAGGGCCCCGACATCTCCCAAGAGAGGCCCGAGAGCCACCAAGGGTCTCGAGAGGGGCCCAGGAGACCCCTAAGAGCGCGACAAAGGCTTCCAATAATGGCCCCAAGATGGCCCCAAGATGGCCACAAAGCGGCCGCATACTGCTACACAATCCTGATCAGGGCAACTCGCCTGTTGACTGCTTTTGGGATGGGCTGGTGGGGATACTTTTTTGATCTGCGGCTCTAAGGACGATTCCAGAGAGCGGGTCAAACTCGACAGGGGCGCAACGCGAGACGATTGGCAACGAAGGCACATAAGCCAACGCCGCAATGCACATGCGAGGGACCAAATGAACCTCCCTGGTGGGGATACGCGAAGCATCAAGGATTGACGAACTTTTCAGTGGAAATATGGACATGAACTGACGTGCTTGATATCCGCTGCCGTGTTGCGCGCTTGATACCGTCGCTCCCGGCCATCTCTGCGACGAGCGTCCTCATCCACCGGGTGTTGACTGAGCTGTTACTCTAAACATCTTTGCACTGCTTAGAAATGGGTCATGTGCGTTGGCTTCGGTGCAGGATTCTGTCTCTGAAAACTTCAGCATAAAGCTTTGCGCATTGCTCGTCGACTGGTAGTGCAAAATCTCGGGCAGCTCCTGCGACCGTGCACCAGGCGGCAGACAGCGGTGTCGTGAACCTCATGGTTATTGCCGCGATCGTGGATGGTCGTTGTCGCAGGCGGATGCGTGTCACGCAAGCTGCCTTTGATGACGCCGTTGAGGTCTCCTGGGCCTGTTGGTGAGGAGATCACTGACGTGACACGTCGCATTGCTGATTCCAGCCTTACGTCCGAGTCATCGGTGGAGGCGAAATAGGCATAATTGCAGCCAAAGCAGCAAGAAAATATCATCATCATCACCATCATCATCATCATCATCATCATCATCATCATCATCATCATCATCATCATCATCATCATCATCATCATCATCATCATCAGCATCAGCATCATCATCATCATCATCATCATCATCAGCATCAGCATCATTCATCATCATCATCATCATCATCATCAGCATCAGCATGCATCAGCATCAGCATAATCGCATCAGCATCATCGCAATCAGCATCATCATCAGATCATCATCATCATCATCATCCATCGTCATCAGCATCAGCATCAGCATCAGCATCAGATCAGTTCTCAGCATCAGCTCAGCATCAGCATCAGCATCAGCATCAGCATCATCATCATCATCAT